CAATCATGTGTATAACATAAAATTTAATTACTGATATACATAAATAAATAAACAAACAAAATTTCATTTTATTTATCTTAATTTCTCATTTATGTTCATGAATAGACAATTCTCTAGTGAAATAAAAAACAACAACAACAATGGATTAAAATAAGTTATTACTATTTAAATTTGAAATATTCAAAAATACCTACGTGATATTACAATGTTAATTTAAACAAACAAAATGTTACTATTTCTAAGGCTTTATCTGTTGTTGTTGTTGTTGCTGTTGTTGCTATCGCTGTTGTTGTTGATTTTGTTGTTGTTATGAGAATTTGAATTTTCCAAAGAGAAAAAAATAAAGAACTAAATTTAAACCAAACCGTTTTGTGATAAAATATGGTTGATCATTGTTTTTTTTTGTTTTGAAAAAAACAAATAAGATTCAATGTTCAATACAGATTACCCCCCATTTAAATTAGAATCCATCGATAAAAACTACATATATATAAATCATGATGTAATCTTCAAATTGTAATATTTGTTCTATCGATTATGAAATATAAAATAAAGTTACGTCTTTATTTTGTTTTTCTAATTCTAAAACTTTATTCAATTGGTTTAAGACTACTGATTGATATTTAGTTGATTCTTTAGTGATCTTTGAAATGATATTGGTTCATTTTACAATAATACTTGTAGACTGTTGTGTTCATTAATTTTATGTTTTCATTAGACAGTGAATTTATCTTGGAATGAATGTGTTTCAAGATATTATTTACAATCGAGTTCTTAAGCTTGACGTAATCTTTAAGAAGACATTAGTATCAGAATGAATTTGATAGAGAACTTTGTAGATATTAATAGCAGAGCCCCTAAATGCTCTGGTACGGTTGAGAGTGAGAAGAGTCCGCTCTCCCACTCCAAATGTTCTCACATGGCCACGCGTGTATAGCCTCTGCCAGGGAAGTCCTACTCACTGCCTTCTCGCACCACGGGTGTTGTTTACGAAAAGCGCTTTAACCGGGTTGGTGGACATGGAGAGTCCACCTAGGGAAGTTGGAAAATCCCCATTCTAAACCAATGGTGCACATGGGCTCCAGTATCCTGAAGGAACAAATGGCGTATGAACCAGTCGTTGGTCACCGGCTACCATGGGAATGCATCTCCTCACGATGCTCCACTACCTTGTAGGTCACACCTTTAGGTAAAGACTTGGGGTGTGGCCTCCTAAGTAAACCATCTGCTTCGGTTTGGGCACCCGGGCAGTATCACAGCCCTCACACATATCAAATGAGAACTGTGTGGCGCATATGTATTCGGTGCCTCCTTGTAACAATATCTATGTGTTAAAAATGAATAGATAGAATTAATAGCAGAACTTACTGTTCATCTTGTTATATCCTAGCGAAGACAAAATTATAAGTAACTTTTGAGAACCATTAATCGGCTAATATTATATATATATATATATATATATATATATATATATATATATATATACATTCCTATTGCATAACCGTTCAGTAACTAGATTTTGTATACCCTATATTCCCCTTATTATAAGCTTCATTTTGATCTGAAGATTATTATTATACGATTTACTGTTCTTAATTTATGTTCAGTTTATTGATTACAACCTCCCACATTCATAGCCACCTTTTGGCTTGATCTTGTATAAATGTTATTTCCTACTTTATGGTGTGATGCAGTCTGTTTGGCTGATATATAAACCAAGTACACATAGTGGAAGCTGTCATTGGTGTTCTGGACTCAGTTGGACAGGCTAGGCAAAAAAAGGACCAATAAGGACGCTAGCCAGCTCATACCAGTTGAACGTCATTGTTTTAGCACCGTACTAAGATTGAATAAGTGGTATTTTGATTGGCGAATAAAGCACATAACTAATTGGCCTTAAAGTCACAATACATCTATGTCTTCATTACAGTCAACCTTTGGAAAATTGAATTTACAAGCCTGCATTGTACCATGTGTATATACAACCACTGGAAACACTATTTCAGTAGATGGACACGAGAACAGATGAATTTATAATCTGGAACCCTTTATCACCTATCCAACTGTTGGGAATCAGGAAGCAATCGACAACTCCTACTACTCGAGTTTGTGACTCCTCAGAAGTACACATTCAAGTGATTGTGTTCAAGAACTTCAGGTCCCTCAATAATCGCCTAACCGACTTTTAATCATTTACAGATGACGCAAGCATCTGTTAGATGGAGGATCTAATGCAGATAATTTTCCTCGAATACAGTCATTACCTTCAAATTTATCAAACCCTGTCGAAAGTTGAAATATCCAAATAAAGATCGCTTATTTCAGGTTAAACTAGTATTGACTTGAAGTTGAAGGAATTTAATCTGCTCTACTGATACAGTAATTTGTGTGTGTCTGTGTATAAGCATATCAATGATTAGCTTTATCATTAAGACTTGACAAGACTCGGTAAAGAGTCTTTATAGAGAAACTTTAAACAATCATTGCATAAAATAGTGCAAATGGAATACTAACTTCAAGAACAAAGGTTTGCGTGTATGTGTGCTTGAGTACAAGTGTTTATGAGCGTGGATTAGTAACTGATAAGATAAATTCATTATCAGCAAAGATTTAGTGCAGATTAATAATGTATGAATAGAAAGGAAGAGGTAAAATGGAATTATTTTCAAAATCCAAACGAATATCCTCTCTACTTATTTCACAATTATTCCACATAAAAAGTGATAACAATTGCACCAATGTAACGCGTTGATATTTAAAGTGAAAGGTATTCAATTTGAGTCTTGATGTGAACATTAAGACCAAGATATGGACACAAACAGCTGACGAGTTCTAAATAGTACGAAGAAGATGCCCTGATTTCCACTACTTTAGCATCAGACTAACTTTGATAAAAACTCATAATCATAATGACAATATAAAAGTGATCTTTTCAAGATGCCATAAAGAGACTGATCATTTACAGACCTTAACACATCAACAACAAGAAAGTACAAAACCTTTTTGAACAAAATTACAACAATATTTAAAAAGAAATACATTTGACATGACAATTGTAAATCAAAATGTCACCATTATTTACTGTTAGTGTTCAAGATTACTTTTTCTATTCAAAAACGGAATTTACACTAGTTGATCATTGAGCAGAGGTGAACATTGCCATTTCTGTCCTGCTCGTAGTGCTAAGTAGAGCTGATCAATGAAGTTGGCATTATGGCACACCATATTTCGATGTTAAATGTTTAAAAACAATTAGCTTGTAATGTTAAGTCACTTAGACTGGTGAACATACTATATCTTAAGTGATAAAATACTATTCGCACTAAACGAATGAATAAACACATGGTATAGGCCACAATAAATAAGCAACCTTGATATATCAGTGTTAGAGGAGGTTGGTTTTGATTTGAATAGCTCAACGGCAAATTTTCTAAATATGACAGTGAGTGACGAGGTGAGCATTAATCGGTTGCCTCAAAATTGAAGATAAGTTGTGTTGTGATGAGTAACATTTAAAATATCACCTGGGTCCAAGGCTTCCTCACGACTGCTCACAGTGAATCAGTAACTAAATACCAACTTTCACCACCCCATATTTATCATGTAATGTATAAAACTCAGAGATGAGGTAATTTTGAGGATTGTATGTTGAAACCATCAAAATCAGTGCCAATCTCCAAGTATGTAAAGCGGTAACTGTTTCTAACTAAATCACCATCATTACAATCACCTCCATGCTAAATGTTGTCTCTTTAAATGATACTCAATAAGTTTCCAAATTTTTTTTGATGAAAATGCTCTAAAGATATTGTATTTTCTCAGCGTTTTCGTCCAACCTCATGCATGTAGTGAAAATACAAATTTCACTTAACTATATCTAAGAGAAAATGCACAATAATCAGTTATGTATGATATTTTTTTGGAAAGTTACCCTTTAGACAACTTACAGTCATTAGAAAATTTTTTTACTGTTGAAAAGTTTTATACTAGGATGAAACGGCTTGCTAGTGGTTCCTCGTTAACAACGATTGTTTAACTAAGATCAGTTCGCGATATAAACTATAAAATGATATGCTGGGTCAATCAGAAGTGGACCAAATAATAACTGAAAAGTGCTGATGGATTTGGGAGTTGATTTAACATTCAAAGAAAACAGAAACACTCTATTGACTGAAAATACCGCTTAATTTTTTTTTTAAAGGAGATGTTGATAAGTCTTGCTATCAATACATCTAAAATCTCTGCCCAGACGGTTTCTAAAAACACAACTGCTTATACACGTAAACTTGAACAATAGAGAAGGAGCAAAATGCGAGTAAGAGCTTTACTTCAAGGTTAGTTTATGTACAGAAAAAAATGAGGGTATTTATAGTCGTATACGACCTTGGGCTTCTGGAAATCTTTGGGACCATAATAAATGTAGTAGCAGTATATGTAAATATCCAGTCGATACTATGATACATGATTCTACGTTTCCTAGATGTTTCTACGATGCCTCTGTTCAACGTTGATAAACTATTTCCAGGAGTTTCCGAGGCTCTAGAGATTTAGGCGAGGGATATTTTTGTACTCTCTCAGTGGATAGACATATATTCATGAATAAGTTGTGGACAAATCGTTGCCTCAATTTAGCCAATAAAAACTTCCTAATCACTATAAGAGTTCCCACTCAAGTGGTTAGTTTAGGACCACATATATATAGTTTTTATATCATCAGTAACAGGCTTTGGCAACTGCAAAACGTCCAACATGCGGGATCTAGGAAGTGTACTATTGAGGAGTCCCATTCTAAGACAAAACGGTCGTCCAATGCTTCAAGGTTTTCAGTGGTGGTCCAGCTACTACTACAATTTCCACAAATCCCCATTCTGATAAAATTATTTGAATGATTTGCATTTTGAAAAATTATATACTAATAATTAGTGAAAAAGAGAAACAAAACTAGTAAGATCATGTTAAATAGAATAGCAACAACAATAACAAAGCTCACTTAAACATACCTTTGCAAATTTAATTGTAAATGATGGATGAGTTTCTTTAATTTGTTGTAATGCTTCATTGGCAGCATCTTCAGAGACAAAATCAATAAATCCATATCCTAAACAAAATGTTTAAAAAATTACAACAATTTTAATATAAACGTTAGGAACAGAAAACATACGTCAAATTAAAAAAATAAAATAAATTTTTACAAGCATTACAAGCAAAGATGAATAGTGGCTAGCAGTGGAATCTGGGACGCGCGTTTTACCTTATTTGGGATTCGTCAGCTAGATGTGCCTAGATCTCAGAGTTGATGTTCACTCTGGGACTCGAATCCAGTGCCGTTCGCTTAAAACGACATCACGTTATCCGCTTAGCTACTGAGTGAACATCAACTCTAAGATGCAGGTACATCCTATTGACGAGTTCCAAATTGGATGAAACGCTCGTCCTGGATTCCACTACTAGCTACTATCCATCTTTGCTTATAATGCTTGTAGATTAAGGCGATATCGAGGCAATACGCGCAGTATGCACATATGCCAATAACAGACTGATCAATTGCAATCCTTAACATTAATGGGAAGATACAAGTAAGACAATACCAAGTGACATTAAAATCATTTTTTGTTTGCTAACAAAATGATAAGTTAATCTTTTCTCTGTGATATTGTCAATGACTTAGATTCAATCGTTTAATATTGTTGTTTTAGTACAACTTAATGAGGCTTTACAATGAATTTCTTGTTGAATAATTTAGTGTATATTGGAATTCTGATGGTTCATTTGAATTGAATGATAAAAGATCGATGTTATATCCCGATAAGAATAATGAATGGTAACTTTTGGGATCCATTTATGGACAAATACAATGCGTATATTTCTATTGTATAATTATTAAGTAACTAAACTGTTCATATTCATGTCCATCTTATTATGAGCTTTAATTTGACCTATGAACTATTATTATACGATTTATCATTCTTGAGTTATGGCCTGTCTATTAATTACTACCTCCCTCATTCACAGCCACATTTGGCTAATTTTTGTACAAATGTTGTTTCATATTTTATGGTACGATGTGGTCTGTCTGGTTGGTATATAAACCCAGTATTCTTGAAATAAATCATCTACAGGATATTTTATATTAGCTAGCTTGCTTCATTAGAGCTTTAATAGGTACTCAAAACCTATTTAAACCATTTGGTAATTCTGTCATAGAATCTAGAATGAACTTCTAAAAAATAATTAGCCCAAAATCCATGAATATGGTTTCATTAGGCAATTGATAAAACACACAAATACTCTCAGAGCTTATTCATATTCGACTGCAGAAACGTTGCAGTTAATTCATCATCACTATCCTTAGCAATATTATTTCTTTTTTACTGTGATTTCTAAAATAAATTAACCAGTTTCAGATGTTATAATGATAACATTCTTACAGTTGCTTAGTAACCTCGGTATGAGTACATTGACAAAGGCAAGAAAAATGTATAACCCGGGTCACTTTCACTAACATGTGATACTACCAAAACGTTTTTGTATATTAAGAATAAATACAGCATAGTAGCATCACAGTGTCTAACCAAACTTTTATTCAAAATTACTCTCGATTACACTTTTATAGGTTCAGTCGAGGGAGACAATTCCCTTAGGTGACATAAAACTAAACGAATATATATTGGAGCATCTATATATTCTTCCATGTGTAGATTTATTATGCAATGGACAACGAACTGAAACTTGAGACACCCAATTTTACTTTATCCCAATCAAAACAAATGTTATTGAGTATAGTGAAGAAAGTAAAATGTAAAATTATCGCGACTAGCATGGTGAAATTGACCAGCTTAGATGTATATTTCACAAAAGGTTATCCAAATGACAACTAATTACACTTATGGCTGTCTTACGTATAAATATTGATAGACAGAGAAATATTCAGGTAATCTGACTTTTGATACACTGATCAACCTAAGCCTCCTTTTTAACTTGTCGCCTGTACAAATCTTCTAACGCTGTAAAAATGAGAAGTAGAATGACGGACAACACCGAATATTTTGATGCTTATTTAAACTAATATAGTAATAAAAAAATTTAAATTTCGTTGGCTTCCATGAGGATATGAGAAAAACTGTGTAAAAACAGAACTAATGAAAAACGAGCATATCATTTAGAAACTGCGGTGGGAATATAAACGATAAATACAATCTTTATGGTCTAAATGGACGGTCAGCTAAAGAACCAGACGAAATCACGTTCCATATTGCAGAGGTTAAGTTTGGTGTTCTAGACTTTAACTGGTTGGGTTAGGCAGGAAGCAGGACTGATAAGGACTCTAGACTGCTCGTATGGGTTTTATGCGTCACTGGTTCGGTCGATAATTTACTGCTCGTTACGTTATACAACAACTAGGGCACACAGGTCACAAGTTATAACAATTAACATTAAAGAAAAACAAGAAAGAGCCATGTTGGATAGTAACTGTACTTTAGAGACGAGCTAATCAAAATAGAGAAAATGAATTTTTGGAAAAAAATTCATAAATAAATGACCTTCATCATATATAACATGAAAATTACATCATCTTTGTATGGTGTTTGGAATACATAAAATTATGGTGTAAAAATTCCCTATAATTAAGTTATCATAGTGTGAAAACGACCGTGTAGAATATGTGTAAAATATCAGTATAGCGTTGTGGAGATTGTTGAGTTACAACTGATATCATGAATGGATCAATGTTAAAGCACCATAGGAAACCTAGGCCTTTTCGTCCTAGTATGGGACTCCTCAAAGACCGAAGGTCCTGGGTTCGAGTCCCGTGTGCGAAATCGTGGATTCACACTTCTGAGAAGTCTTATACTAGAAGAGAAAGGCTGTTTAGTGTTTGCAGGTTCTCAATGATGGCCCAACATTGATCCATTCATGATATTAATTGAAACATGCTGATCTTAAATAACATGTATATCAATAAGTTTTTACATTAATTTACTTCATTTATTGCAAAGACCCAAATAAGTCAATTTTATTAGAGATTGATTAAATCATGAGTGAATCGGTGAAGTTAGAATGTGAAACTACATATCCATTTTCATATATAATCTGTTTATGTCTATTTTCTTGTAACTCCATCTAACTAAATCTTTAACGGATAAAGATGATTTTATAGGCAGTAAATGAGTTTTCCATAAGAAGAATTCATAGCTATATAGTGTGAATATTTCCACATTGAAATTAATGACATGATATAGAGATGTCTTAACAAAATCGAAAAACTGATAATCATGATTAAAAACTAGAAAAAACTTTTTGAAACCCACAAAAATTCTAGGTGAGACTATAATTATCTTCAGTGAGTTACTATCTCACAACAGACCGGGTTGAACTCCATTGGTCACAGCTTCCGAGTAGAGTTCTAGGAAATACCTCTTGAAGTAAGTCACTAAGAATTTTTAAGAAGTTTTTTAAGAAATTATTTCTTATTGACTAATGGATGATAATGAACTAAGATCGAATCCTTATTTCATATAAGATAAACCTCTGTCACTAGCTAAGCTACAGTACATTCCTAGAATGAAGCAATTCAGTGACTAACAACGTTTTCTCTGGCCCGGATGAGTAAAAGAATGAAATATCATTTAGAAACATTTAATTACACCCCATTCACCATTGGTAAACTCATCGATTTTTTATCCCAACAAGTAACCCATATATATATTACCATCTTAATTGCACAGAAATAATATGAATAAATTCTATAAACAATCTAAAAATCATACCGTTGATCCAACCACATATAAATGATGGTTTAATTGGATTAAATGATCAGTCATTATTTTGTTAGAATAGTTCTATACATCTTATAGCTTGAGGCCTTGTGACCTATTAATGTATTACGTAATGATACTGTCAATTATAGAACAGTGATTTATCGACCGGATCAATGATGCGTAAACACGTACGAGCAGTCTAGATCCCTTATCAGTAATTCTTCCTGCATACCACTGACTGTTGACTCCACAACACCAATCTCAGCCTCCGCGATATGAATCATGTATTTCAAAGATAATGGGTTTATATACAAACCAAACAGACCACATCGTACACTAAAATCGAAAATAACATTTGTACAAGATCTAGCCACAAAGTGTCTGTGAATGTGGGAGACTGTAATTAGTAGACTGGACATAACTTAAGAATGGTAAATCGTGTAATAATCGTCTATGAGTGAAAATGAAGCTTATAATAAGAGGAACATGAATATGCATAGTTTTGCTGCTTAATAATTACACAATAAAAATTTATGTATAAGATTAGTCCATAAATAGATCCCAAAAGTTACCATTCATTATTCTCATCGTGCTATACCCATTTTAAATTTCACTGTAGACCAATTATGTAAAAATCAATAATTCTTTTTTTCTACAATCAGTTTCATCAAACTAATGTTCTCTCCTTGTTTTTTTTTAATTATTGATCAGTAATTTTTTGGTTAGAAACAATGAAATTTAATATAAATCAATAACAGTTAGGTGTTGTTATCTATCAAGATTCCTTAAAAATATAATTGAGTAATGATTTAAATTATTATTTAGATATAAAAGAAACCACAATACCAACTATTTATTAATAATAAATCGTATTTAATTTGAATTAATTTAGAATTTTTTTTACATCCTAGTATGGGACTCCTCAACAGTGTGCATCCATTAGTAACTGGCTTCAGTAGGTATTTCCTAGAGTTGCAGTGAGAAGCGGTGACCAGTGGGGTTTAACCAGGTCTGCTGTGAGATATCAACTCACTGAAGACAATGGCGGACGGTGGTGTGATTTCGTGGATTAGTTGAAGTTAGACATTAACATCGTTGAATGCCGGCTCATTGGTTAAGATTTTCAGCGTCCGCGCGCGAGACCGATGAATCCTGGGTTCGAATCCTGCGGGACGAGATTATGAATGCATAGTGCTGAGAAAGAAAATCACTAGTTTTAGAAAGCTTGTGGAGATTAGATAAGAAAGATTGTTTCAATGATGAGTTCTCTTTTCGTCGAATTCGTTTTTAAAGCTATACAATCACGAATATATATTTATTTTTCAGAATGATAATAATA